TTTATCAACCACAAATCCCAAAAGGAAAAGAAAAGACAACAAGCAACAAGACAACAAGCATGTTTTTTTGGATTACCACCTGAAAAATGTGTTAAACTCAACCATGTCTACTAACTCACTCTTATAACTGTTTACATTCACAGGAGTGGATTATTGGGGATGCACAGTGTTATGGTGTTTAACATGTTACCCTCCTGGCAGACTGTTGATATTATGGTGGTAAGTTGAAAATTGCTGTTCTATAATGTCCTTAATTCTCTTATATCCTTGTAAATTGCTTTGCATAAAAGTGTCTGCTAAATGCATAAATGTAAATGTAAATGTTTCATGGGTTCTCTCTTTGGGTACTCAGTCTAAAAACATGCATGTTAGAATAATTGCAGATTATAAAATTGTCTATTGGAGTGAGTGTGAGTGTGTGGTTGTTCATCCCTGTGTGGCGCTGTGATGGATTGGGGACCTGTCCAGGGTGTACCTATCACCCAATGACAACTAGGATAGGCTTCAGCCCACTGCCCCAGTCGTATAGCAAACGGATGGATGGACTATTGACTGAAATATGTCAGGCGCTGCGACGGAGGACACTCCGCGTAAAAATGCTGACCTTCTGCTGCTTCTAACTTTCCCTGAGGGGGATCATCCATACATGTAACGTATTCGATTTTTTAATTAAGATTATATTACAGGAGTTTATTTGCCTGGCAAAAGAAACAAACAAGGGGATGGAGTGTCAGCACGACTGATATGCTGGAGCTAGGCCAGTTCTAATAAAACTGGATTTCATCTGATTTGGTTCGGACTAAAAAGTTTTTTTTTTGTGTGGCCCTGTGATGGACTGGCGGACTGTCCAGGGTGTACCCTGCCTCTTGACCACTGACTACTGGGATATGTTCCAAGTATGCTCACACCATAGTTGCAAAACAAATATATAAATGCTGCAAACGACATTCTATCAGTCTGGTGTGTGCTTCATTGATAAGCAGTTGCCCTCCCAAAGTTTTTCTATGTTAAAAATGATAAAACTAACTTACAGGCGAACTGTAGGCTCGCTCTCCTGCTGAGGATGGCTCCTACAGTGTTGTAGGCCATGCACTGGTACATCCCCACATCCTGATAGCGGTCCAGACTGCTTATAATGAGGTTGCCCCCAGACAGACGTCGACGACGATCCAGGCCCAGATTTATGAGAGTCCCATTCAGTGACCATCTGTGAGGGCAAAGACACCATCAGTCGCTGGCAAAATGCATCATCCATGTTTTTTTTTTCTTTGCCAACAAAGGTGGTAAAACAGGAAGTTAGAAGAGAACGCAACCCACTGTGGCAACCCACAGGAAAGAGGTTTTATATAATTAATAGTGTGATTTGAGCTGGTGTCAAGCAGCTAA